GACCTGTTCGTATATCCTTCCTACGTATAGTTTTCTCGACTGCACTATCATTTCTCCGTAATATACCTAACTTCATAAAGTTGAGTTTGTCTTCACCGTTATACTCTATTGAAAAATTCACTCTGGAACGAGTTTGGCTGAAAATCTCAAACAATATTGATGCATGATTTATGTCGTCATTTTATTCTGTTCATCTGTTCGTTCATTTCGTATTCAAATGAAATGTTTTTTTATAGATTTAATTCCCTTGAGAAATCTGAACAAAGCACAAATAAAGATATTTACAGAATAAAATAAGATCATTTTATCTCATGGCCTTTCCATCAGCTGCAAAAAGCCTACAAATGAAATGAATTATTGGTAGTATTAATGGCAAAAAAATACTTTAAATGTGTAGAAATATATGGAGATTCGAAATCTAGGATTAACAATAAGGTAGTTAGTCAAGGAAATACAGGATTCATAAACACAAATCAGTCAAATCAATGGAGATTTATATATGAGATAGGAAATTCTGCAGTTGTGGAAAGGTTGAAGGAGGAAACAAACAGGAGGAAGTGTAAAACACAGGATTGTTGAAGAGCTAGTAGATCAAAAACTAGAAAAACGTTGGACTGAAAGCAAACAATGGTCAGTAAGTAATCAATAAAGATATGATGCAATCAAAAAAACTATATACATACATATGCAAAAAATTACATACAGTTACCAGGGGGTAAAGAAAGGTTAACTATCGTCTCTTTCTGAGTGCAAAGGTCAGGTTAAAAATGTTTGATCGCAAGAGCTTACATAAACCGTAGTAAAAATGGCGTTCTTTGTTTGTTGATTATCCTGATGGATTGAGATGTTTGTTTGAGATGTCTGTTTCCATTAGGTGCCTCGTGACTGCACTGGTAAAGATCTTATTATCTTTTGAACAGAGACTTATCAAAGTATGCTCATAGAGTCAAATAAACGCTCTTCCTTTGGTTCTTCTTATGTACTTGGTTCCACGAGCACAGGTGAATTGATATACACTGTTGAAGGTGACGTGAGCTGGGTATTCGTCTACTTTCGACAGCGTTATTGAGCATACTGTATTATAAACTGAGATCAGTCTGGCAGTAGAAAAGCTCCTTCGCAGCGTAGGTTTTATTCTTCTGTCCATTCCTGCAAACGTCTAATCACCCTTGAATGCTATATGAAGAAAAACGAGCTTCGTTCTCAACAGTTAGGTGTTTGGATCTCTCAATGAATCCTTTTCCATGTTTCATGATGAATTTCTTCGAATATTCATTCTCTATAAGAGTCTTTTCAATGATGGCGAATCCTCCCTCCAATTTGTCTTTTCAGCATAGCCCTTTTACTTTAGTGAAGAGCATCTTGACTAAACTACGCTTACAGCTGACAGGACAGAAACTATTAAAATGAACGTATTAACCAATTCACGTGCTTTTCTTGTGGATAGTTTTCTTAACTCCAGCATCACATCTCCGTTCCATACGTCAGTTGTAGAAATTCATTGTTTTCACTTTCGTATTCTATTTGGAAAAATTCATATTTAGATGAGCCTGATGGAAGGTATTAATCAGCTTTAATGTATGACTCATATTATCACGGACGGCTTTAAAGGCCAAAAAGTAACCAATCAGATTGCCGTTTTTTGGCTGGGAAGATAATTTTTCATAGAATAAGCAAACGTGATTGGTTGTTTTATCAGTTGTTAGGATGGCCTTTAAAGTCACTTTATGATCGCAATATTTTGTGAAATTAGTTCAAACAATTTTCTTTTTAAAAAATACTAGCTAAGGAAAGTGACATTTAAAAGCAATTTACTCACTGGTTACTTGAGAAGATAACAGAAATGTATTCCCTCTATGAAATGTATCTTTTCTAACCTATCTATGGTGATAGCAGCTTTTAGGACATCACTGAAAAAATCGTTTACTAGACCTAACCACTTGATATTTTGTAGTTGCAATCCTAATTATTTAATGCAACTATGGTTGACAGATGGAGATGTGACTCGTTGGTTTTGCTACTTAATTTCCAAAAGATACATAACAAGTTTCAATTCAAATCAACCTACAGAGGTTCAGTTAATCAGTTAATATCATTGCCTACTGAACTAGGGTACACAAGATTGATGAGTGAATTTCAACTTTTTAAAGGTTAACAGATTGGGACAGATTAAGACTCTACTTTAAAGTTATCAGTCACTCAAATAGTTTTGTTTGTACTAATGATGCGGAGAAAAATATGTTATCTGGTAGAGGTATCTAAAAAATAATCATTCGATGATATAATTTTGATTTTTAAAAAATTCAATCACAACGGTGTAGGTTTATATTTTAATTATTACCAGATTTGACAGGAAAATAATAATAACAATAACAAAAGCGAGCTGTTACTGAATGTTATTTACAATCTTAAAGTGAAATTTTGTATTGAAATTGTTTATTGTTATGGAACCTAATGTTAGAATGACTAATAACTTGGTTTAATGGGATAAACGCTGAAGTTGAAGACACTAAAATGAACACATTTTGCTTAAATTAACTTCTAACTGATGATCTAAGAAAATTTAAGCAGCTGGAATTTAATTCTACATCGAGCTTATAGTATCCTTTCTAATAAAACTCGTGAAACGGTTCATAATCTGCGTTGAATGCAGAAGTGAAATGGATCGCACTAAAAAATGACTCCTAAATGAGTGAAAAAAAATATCTTGTCTTAATCCATTTTTGGAAACTAAAGAGTTTAGACTAGACTAGTTGCTTACGGATACCTGGTTTAGAGATAGTGTTATAAAGCACGTTCAGTAGTACTTTTTGAATGCACGTAGTTGAAAATCAGAACTTTAAGGAGATTTCAACGTGTTCACATTTCAAGAATGAAATGATGAAGTCACTTTAAACATATCTAATCTCATCTGTTATATGGCAATAAACTTGATTTCGGTTACTTCATTTGCTTAAAAGGAAAGGATTATAGTAAAGTTTATAGGTGTCTCTTTTTATATTTTATGTATTCAATTCAGCAGCAGTCTGATCACTCATGGACTAGGCTATGAACCGTAAATACTGTGAAGGGGTGAGTGGTACCAACTGACTGCTCAGTACTCGACAACTGTATTAGATTGAAACTGAACCCTTTAGGCGATTGCCCACGGTACTATACTTTTTGAACTACAAACACATATATTTCTTCAGTATAAGGCTATAAATCTTTCCTTTTTACTTGAGTAGTTTCTTTCAGAGTGACTTAAATTGCTGGATTAGGAAAGTATATATGTATTCAATATAGATGTCTATAATATCTAGAAGTTACTGAAGCCTAGGAAAGCCACAGAACCAGATGGAATTTCACCAGAAGCACTGAAAACAGATGCAGAGACAATAGCGGACACGCTCACACCACTACTCTAGAAGGTTTGCAAGGAAGGAAGGAAAGGCACCTGCCGATTGATTGGAGAAGGGCTACCTTGTCAAACTTTCAAAGAAGGCAGACCTAAGCCTTTGCAGAACTGGCGAAGAATCATGCTCCTTCCCTATCCACCCCAAGCAAAAATTATGCTACATCATCCTGGAGAGACCAAAGGATGCACTGGATTCAAAATTACGACCCGAACATGGTGGCTGGCTGGCTTCAGGAAGAACAAATCATGTGCGGATCAAATTGCAACGCTATGCACCATCATAGAACAGAGCACAGAGTGGTAGTCAACTCAACCTCAACTTCACCGACTTTGAAAAGGCTTTCCATCATGTCTACCGAGAAGTAATTTGACAGCTGCTTCGGCACTAAAGATTTTCAACACTAACGTCAAGTAAGTAGGGGCTTCTATATGCTCAGAGACTTGCTACGTTACGAAAATCATTTCCAACAAACTGCAGACATTCATCAACAACTGTCACCTACGCTCACTCGATAATGAAGATCAGATGGCCAGAATAATAAGCATAAGCAACAAGGAACTCTGGTTGGCTGGAAACGACACAACCAAGAACCCATCACCCAACAAATACACAGAAGAAGGTGGAGATGGGTTGGGCATGCACTGAAAAGACAACTTGGGGACATCACGCGCCGGGCTAGCCAGGCCGTCAAGTGGAATCCAAAGAGGGGAACGACGAGTTGGGCGTCCCAGCTGAGGGTGACACGGAAGAGATCATGTGAGAAAGAAATGGAAGCTTGTGGGCAGTGGTGGAGCCAGGTTGAAAAGACTGCAGAGAAGAGAGTGGAATGGTGGCGTGCTACTGAAGCCCTATGTTCCACTAGGAACCCAAGGACAAAAAAAATAATATCTAGAGTTCACTTCAGCATTACGTTTTCGAAGCAACAGTATATGCACACCTTCCATGATAACTAACAAAGTTTCTTGTACGTTTTATGTAGCGCAGTAAATACGGAAACATTACCATATCAGTAGTTCTTACTAAAAGAAGTAATATGTTGATTAATAATAGATAAATAGTTAAGTACATTAACATTGTTATTAGAGGATATAATTGATTAAAAGGCTACCAAAAAAACTTCTCTAGAATAACTTTGGCTCCTGAAAGCGAATTACATCCGAAATCCATTGAGCAACTTTGTGCACATTTAAGCAGTAAACAGTTAGCCACACCTACTGTATGACGGCTAGCCTCCAAAAACCTCGATAGATGGTTGAAAATCAACTCCTTAAACCAATAAGCAATAACTTTGATTTTTGGCAACTAACAATTGGCAAAAAACTACTATAACTATGATGAATAACTTACTTTTATTTTAACAAAAAGATGGTTATAATAAATAAATTAATATAATTACTATCCATAATAAACCTAATAACACTTTACCTTTTGCTCAAAGACATTTTCCATTTCTGACTCCAATTTGGCCAATTTACGTTGATGCGCTAAACGTTCAGTTTCTAGTTGACTAAGTGGTTCACGACTATCTTCAGTAGCTAAAAATTTACTAGCTTCCGCTATACTAGTTAAACGTGAAGCAAAGTAGTTTGCATAGTGTGTTTGATGTGTAACATCAATTAAATCCTGTGAAATTTATTTCAGAAATAAAAAGCATATATATGATAAAATAAATTTAAAAAAATTGACAAATGTTACCAATAATACTACATCATATTCCTTAAAATAACTGTTCAATGGTGAGCATTTAGATTTTTACAATACACTTCATGTATTAGAATGATGGAGAAATTCTTTCTTCAAGTCATGAGAATAATATGATATTCAGTTCAGAGAATATAATTCCATAGAAACATCTAATCACAAAGATTATAAAGAAAAGTATCCAGAATAAAATGATATAGAATAGGCAAATAGTTACAAATTCATGACCATAGTATGTTTTTGATAGTCATCTAAATCTTTCTACTGTACATAAATTTGATGATTTCAGAAATAAGTACATAGATATCAAATGGTTAAAAAGTTATATACTTTCGATTCAATAAATTTTAATTACCAACAAGAAAGATTTAGTTGAGACGTATACATTACATTTGAAAGTATTATCCGTATGCAGGTCATATATATGCCTCTTGTAAGTTAAGAGAAGTTCAGGCACAATTAACTTGTTTCAGCTAAGATTAATAGATAAATGCAGCTTTGAATACAGAGTTTTGTAATAATAATGAATTTCTTTTGATCAGAAAATTTTACTTTGTATCATGATTTTCATGAAAATTATAATGTCTAGTATTGATAGATATCATCCTTAATTTCTTTTCCAACTATGCAAGGAGTCAATAACTAGAAGCCATTGATGATACAGTCTAAAATTGAACATCATAGAGTAGATATATTCACTCTTTGGCATTTTCGAAATTATGAACATTTTATTCGCCTTCATTCATTCACTATATCTCTCTCTTGTAGTCTCTTTGCATCATTATATCTCTGTTTATTTTCTCTTCATATGGTGTTAAAAAAACTGGCAAATTAAACTGATGTAACTTGTTTTAAGTTTCTACATTGATCTATCTCCCTTACCCTGATAGTTTTTAAGAATCATACCTTAATGGTCAAAAACAATAACGTGATATTTTCAAATGGTCAATGATAATCCACGGAATATTGTTAAAATTAGTGATACAAACTGCTTAGATGTATCATTGAAAAGTTTGTGCATTGTGGTTTATAGAAACTCTTATACTTCTACTTAGCATCTATTTGGTACCCATCCCCGTCGCCACTGTTATGGGTTCGAAGCGCTAATGGTATATGTATGTATTCCGAAATGAATATAATACGTGCGCTTAGCTGACAGCTAACTTGGTACGCAAGAGACACTGGCTGCAACCCCGGGACGAATAGAGAGAAGACCGAAGCTGGCAGATAGGAGAGTGTATTACTCCGAGAATATAATATAATAACAACGAATCAATCCAAAACACGTGAATAAGTATACATATGAAAAATGACCTTGTCCGCAATTGGAGAAATTCGCATAGTAAGAGTAAAAGTTAACCAATCAGTAAACTACCTTACAATGGTGGCAGAAATAGACTATTTAGTCATACCGTAAAAAATAATGTGGGAATGACACGTTAAAATGTTCAGATAAATAACAATGTTTTATCGAAGACTGGGGCATCATAACATTTATCAGTCAAAAGATAACATATATTTTTAAAGAAAATTTTGATTTGATTGAATTAGAGAAGCAAATGAACTACATGTTGTGTGGATGAAAAAAAAGAAATTGGTTGGGAAAGAAATTGTACATGGAATGAGAACGAAGTCTATGACATTGGGATTGAGTAATATCGAAAGGGAAGTTACTATGCTAACAAAATAATGATGGGTTTCTGCCTATAGTCAAACAGGTATGACCTTAATTGTCTTAGCGTTACCGCTTTATCAGGTAAACCATTTTCCGGAATATTTCCTTCGATAAAAATTATACAAGTTTGCTGTCTATCGAATGATTATTGTGCTTGTAACTGAAAGTTGTGTGATGAAAGTACCCATTACCGTGAAGCTGAAATCCTTTATAATAAATTCCTTCATTTTTGTGATCATGATGTGGCTGAGACAAGTTAGACTGATGGACAAGTAAAGCGAAAATGTTGAGCTTTACACCTGACTCAGCCATAAAATGTAAAGCATAAATGAAGCGTTGTTACCACCAGGTCATGCTTAATCAGTGACAGATCATGTTCAAGGGAGCACAATTCTTAAACTCAACTCAATAGCATAATATGTACCTTGAGGGTACATTCTATTTTATTTTTATTCTATGTGATAGAAAGTTGGTGATGAATTCTCAGAAGTCATCTGACAATCTTTGGTTCCACTCTGAAAAATATAGTGTGTACCTGTTGGATAAAATTGTGACTGCTTGTGCTTATATAAGCAGTAGGTCATATTCATCTTATGAGTAAGAATTCTGCTTACAAATCTTAAGTTGATAATGAGAAAATAGACTACATCATAACCAGATCAATTCTGAAAGTTACCACATAGGATAATACCTGGTGGATGAAAGATGAAAACTTTTGTTCTTCATCTTTTTAACGAAAATATTATGCATAAAACACCTAAACAAGTTTATGTGTGATCATGTTGTTCAAAGTGTATTGTAATAAATACATTACCGTTTTTCAGACAAAGGTTTTTATCATATGTTGTAGATAACCCCACTGTTTCTAGTACATTACAGCTCTAATGACGCTGATTTTCATTGAATTATACAATCAAGTAGGCAATTACGTGGCAATGAGATGTTGTTAGCAGTTTAAATTTTTCTATAGGAAGAAACCTAGAGAGTAGAACATCCTGTTAAATCCATTCTGATATTAGTATGCACTGAACATTCTTAGAATTAATTCACATTGCTCCTTAACAGTTACGTCAGCCTCATTAAATTCCATTCTAACAATTCTTCGCGTGACTCTATTTAACACAAGCTTTTATTCAGCTAATATTTCCATTTGTCTATTAATAAGTGAGATATAGAAGTCAGTGAAAATTTAACTGGAGTTAAAAATATTTAGTATGAAAGAATCAAGGATGAGGAAGAAATTATATAACTAACCTGCATATACATACTCATCAACAAACTTTTTAAGGCACTGAAATCATTATGTGCAAGATTTTCACATTCAACAATACCCCATGGATAGGATCGGCCATATACCTTGTAATGAAAAGAAAAAAATATCAAAGTATGAATTTGTTAGAGCTCTGAACATAAATATTGAAGAGGTAGTAGACACTGAAAAGGACTATTCACATAGAAATAAATATACAGTATGTGAATAATGTAGGTATTCGTTTTGTTGATTTTAAATATTTTGAAAAATATTTTTCGTTCTCATCGATTCATAAACAGAATAATCAGTATGTATAACAGGGGTGATGATCGAAGCGGAAATAAAATCCTGGGTTAACTTAGAGCCTAGAAAATTGAATTCCTGACTATTAGTGTGGTAGTCTACTTTCTAAGGTATGGGACTAAAAAGTAGGATGATGCTCCGAGACTGGTCTCCAACTACTAGGTTGACGATAAGGAGTTTATATAGTGGAATTAACGTGTGAACAACGTTGAGGCCAGACGAAGAGTACTAAGCAAGACAGGCAAGTCAGTCAGTGAGGTTGTGAACCTTTATTGATTCAGGTGGCTTCCACATAAGTTGTGCATGCCGAATCAACGCCTACCTCGACGTTCTATGCTACGGGAGGTTGTATTAGGTTGAAATAGGGTTCAGGGTGGCCAAACCAAGACCTGGTACCGATGCATGAGGTCCCTGACTATTGCTCTGAGTCGTTTTATGAGGTATGGACTGTCTGACTGGGGTCCCCGGGACGAAACGAATTGGGGCTGAAGACTCTTGGTGACGTGGCTGAAAAACAGGTAAAATTGCACACCTGACACTCTCTGACACCACCTGATGCTTTTATGTTTTGACTAACCTCAATTTTTAAATTCTCTCCTCCAATATTTCTTTGTCCACTTTTATATCAGTGTTTTTCAACCCACTTGTTCCTTGTATACTACTGTACAGTGTGATAACTTAAACCGATGCACTCGTATGGAGGTTCTACATTGATTTTGTCTGTCTGCTAACGAGGTTTCAGTTTCACCTCATGATTGAAGATTTTACCCGGTTGTTACATGGATGGATGATGTATGACTACCTTTTTGTCGATGGCTTATTAGCTGCCCAGTCAGATTTTTCTTATCCTAATCGATGGGAATAAGAGGCGGAAAGCAAATGACTGGTTGTCTATACGAGTATCAGAGATATCTTTGGTTTGGCAGGCTGGTCTTCATGTGATGGAGGTTAAGATTCAAGTTGAAACAAAAATTACGGTCACATAAGGCTTAGAGTCTATTTTCTTATAACCTGCAAACTAGAAAACTGTTCTAATACCTTTTACTATCAAGCAGTTTTTCCAGTTGGCTAAGTGTGATAACTACGGCTTACGATCACGATCACATCACAAACGTCATACAAACTAACAAGGGATATTACAGAACAATACCTATAGTTAGAAATTAATCCAGCTGTTTTACGCACCATACCTATCAAGTCATTGTGATCTGTATGCTTACCAGTGGAAACTATTGATATCACAGCTGGTTGGTTGAAAAACTATCCACTTGTAAGAACTATGAAAGTGGACTGTGTACTTTACAAAGTGAATTTTGTAAATCTTTTATTCCTTTCATAGTATATCGCTTCATCGAAGGCAATTCAGCATTAATGAGCTCAACTAAATACAAGTGGGATGGTCATGAAATGTTCATATTTAGCTAGTGAAACGTTCAAATCAGAATGAGGGATTTCTAACTACTCATGATATTAAGTAGTATGTTTCTAGTCACTTGGTACTACATATGTAGAGGATAAACAATGATAAAACGTTTTTAAAAGGCAACTAGTACCATTTTCTATTTGGGGAAACGTTATATCAACGAAGTTTTCACCATAGATATACAATGTTGAGATATATTCACATATCATACAAGTAATCCTAAAATTCATACATCATTTTCTTCCATTTTCAGGTACTGCATACCACAGAGAAACTTAACAAAAGTTTTGACCAGAGTAATTTATTATTTTATTTACAACAAATATCTTTAAAAAAATTCTAAATTCCGTTTGATCCGATCCAGATAAATTGATTACTATAGCAAGAAGTTGACACTTAGTTCTTTATTCTCATGAGTTACTCACTCTAGATATTTCAAACGCATATTCTAATTAAGCGCTCCTATGAATCGACCAGTTTATAGAAATATAACTAAAACAGAACTCAGAGTTATCGATGCAATTCTGACGAATAGGTCTCTTGTAGCTCTTATTCTGCTGATCTGCAGACAAGATACTTTTAAAAACTTGAATCCACTTTTTTTTAAGAATTGAAATCATCAATGAACTCTAGACTAATTAAGATCGCAAAGTACCACAAAGACGTCATATGAAACTGTCGCTACAAAACTCTATTTCTATCATAATAGACAAGACTAATCCTGACGATAATTTCTACTAAGGTATAGATTAGTCGAATAAAACAAGAGAATATATGACAATGACAAACATACCCTTTACAAAACAGCATCAGATTACTGGAAACAAAACTGATTACGAGGTGCATTCAGTCTGTCTATTATTGCCTAAACTTCTAGTTGATGCTTTATTGACCGTAAACCATACCTAGTTCAAAGTATTTTACTGACTCTGACAACATTACCAGGAAGAAAATTGAAACATAATTCAACTTGACAAAGCCGTTTGTGTACCAGGGTATGAGCTACAAATTTTTCTGAGGGCTGATAGTACTATCCAGATGTTCAAAAAGAAGCAAATGACGCTGGATTTGGATCCGAACTCCACTGATTTGAAGTTAACTCATTTTATCTGATATGGAGCATTCACTTTATTCATAGCTGTGTAGTTTTGTCGCCTCAGAGATGATAAGAAGAAACTACATAAAACTGAACACTTTTATAGTTAAATGTAAGAGTTCGACTATGCCTTATCTAGCATATATCTTAGATGAGGAAAAAAGTGTTAGAATAGAACTCACTTAACAACCTTGTAACAATAAATAATCCGTTTTTCTAATATTTTAACCATTCATGTGTAATTCTTCTCGTTATTTATCCTACTGATATAATTTAACTTGCTATAATTAACACTATTCGAAATGTTGTAAAGCAGTATATTCTTCAGGCAATATTACACGCTAAGAATTCCAAATTGTATCGAGAATCGTTTGAAATCAGCTAGATCCTCAACTAAACACTATGCAAGATAGTGATCACATTGTGAAGCGATTCAACCTCATGTACACTAGCACATACAAGTGGTTTAAATTTATTGGCGTTGCTAATAAATCGAAACAGATGTCATAATGAAAGAATTCAAGTATTGCGTTAAACTATTTATCCATAAATAGTAACGCAATCCTCCTTTACTATACTACTTTTGGTGGTATTTAAGGGCAGCAAATAATTCTAAACGATAAAATAGTAAAATTTGAAGGAGGAGAAAGCTCAGACAGGCTATACCAAATTCTTAGGTTTGTCTTTTTGCTGAAACTCTTGATTACAAATAAAATGTGACAAAAATCAAGTGGATAAAAAAGGAAGATATCAGGGAGAAAAGGCAAAAGAAAAAGCATCCAAAATACATTTGTTACAAATGTTCTGGAAGAAGTTGAGTACCGAGTCTGACTTGATCATTATAAAAAGATAATGTGATTTTCTGCTGTTATAATGAATCAGATAGGTCGGCCTCTGTTGGTATATAGGATCCTATACGGATGCCGCGATGTTGCCTGAATATTTTTTGTTATAACTGCCCTGGTTCTGATTAGCAGTGAAATCCAGGATACGCGTTCCGTCCGATTTGAGACTCATCAGCTAGACGTAGCTGTACCTCAGTGAGCGATGTTGTTCCCACTGAGACCGAAATCTCATACCCACAGCTTCAAATGCTAAAGTGTTATCCACTGGATCACTGAAGTGATTACATTAATTATAATCCAAGTGTGCTTAGAAAATCAAAACAGAATATTTCGCCGTGTAAGTTACAGCTTTTTCAGCAGAATATACGGGTTTATATTAACATCGAAATATGACACAGAAGAAATATGTCTACAAAATTAAGTGTTTGAAATGTGAGTCTAATTATATTGCAGAAAAAGGGAGAACCTTAAAAATTGATGTTAATAAACACAAATTGTGTACGAAACACCAGCTGAAGAATCAAGATGAATTAAGATATTTAGAAAAGCCATCAGCTATAACTATGTATGCAATCAGAAGTGGATATATGATTGGCTCTAAACAATGTAGGTATATTGGGAAAGGGTTTCCATTCATATAAAGAAAGATAAACTTTCGAAGCACTACATATTTTAACATCAAATGCTATAAAGAGAAGAGAAGGAATAGACTTGTCATTTATTTAGTAAACACTAAGCCGACAAAATCGTAAATGATTACTTCTATTAATTGAAACTTTAATTACGATAACAAATATCAAAATTATAGACATCTAGACCATTGTTGTTACTAATGTCCTGGAAGAAGTTGAACCCGAGCCTGATTAAATCATCACAAGACTATACTTTAATACTTTAATCCCAGCGTGTTTAAAAAACCGAAACGAGATATTTCTAAACGTTTCGCTATGCAATCTATAGCTTCTTCAGCAGAATAATTAAGAGTAGTCACTACAAGTTCACGCTTGTCATTGTCAATATCATCATGAGAATTACTGATGGTTCATAAATAAAAGTATAAGAAACAACACATATTCTATACTATCCTATCCTACTATCCTACATTTTTCATTGACAAATGACAATAAAAAAAATATGAACTTGAAATTCCTGATAACTTTTTATTGATGCACTTGTAATTCTAGAGGTATATGCATGGGAACCCATGTGCCAATAGGGGTTGAATAATTTGATCCAGAATTATAAATACATCAACGAAAAGTTATAACTAATACCCGTTATATAAGATGAGGCTATCATGCTTCAGTGGCCTAGTGGATAATGCTTTGGAATTTGAAGCGATGAGTACGGGGCTCGAGTCTCAGTGGGAACAACATCACTCACTGGGGTGTAGGTAAATCCAGCTGAAGTCTCAAACAGAACGAAACCCGCGTACTGGACTCCATTGCTAACCACTACAGAGTGAATTATTGTAACTCTTTATTATAATCACTCAGTCTGAACAACAAACCATCTAACCAATGATCTATATACACTAAATATTTGATGTACTATTTGACTCCATAAATTGATGTTAATAAAAATCTGTTTATTCTCCTGAAGAGGCTGTGGCTTACACAGCGAAATGTTCAAAAATATCTTTTGATTTCCCAAACACGCTGAGATTATATTAAAATATAATCTTATCACGTTTTTCTTATTCATTGAAATAACTTTCCAATTTTGTTGATTTTCTCTTTTGTGGTGTTGTAAAATGCTCCAGCTTTAGCTAACCAGCTTGTGAAAAAAGTTCTACAGTGTTGTGACTGCTTGTTTTCCTCTGCTGTGCTTATGTGAAGTGTGGTCACTTGAGGCGATATACAACTATCCCAGGTCCTATGTGATTAGTCAATACATTTATTCCCCTGAGAAACTTTGGAATGAAAATTCGTTTACAGATCATGACTGAAGTTTTGGTGCAGCTTATAAGCTAGTCCAGTAATTATAGTAATGATGGATAGTGGCTAGCGGTGGGACCAGGATGCGCATTTCGTCTTATTTGGACCTCGTCAGATAGATGTGCCTGCATCCCAGTAAGTGATGTTTTTTCCACCAGGATTCGGACTCGGAACCGATCATTTCAAACTCCAGAGCGTTATCCGCCACACCACCGAGCCACGATAGACATTTCTTGTGCGACAGGTGCCACGAGACCGATCAATTCGGTCCAATCAACGACGGTATAATACAAGCAATTATACTGATTCAGTAATTGTTTGATGATTAAGTAACATGTCCATAATAGTCTAGAAGGTCGCTGAAATACTTTAGTACAACTGATGACGGTTTGAGTCCACTTTTTCTCTCAAAATGCTCCAATATGACCAGATGGTCATAGCCTGTTGAAAAAAGCTATTCGCTGCCTTCGTGTGGTCCAGGCATCTTCACAAACTGAAAGAGTGAAAATCAACACCTAACTCTTATCGGTTATTTATTGGATACAGAGGGTTATTTCGATTTTATACTAGTGATGTATGTGGGTTTCAAGATCCCGACGTAAACCTACGTTGACCACTGAAAACTCCATAAACACAGCTCCTGACACTGTCGAGGGTTCGAAGAGTGGGTCCATGAAAAAAACGCCTCCTTCGGTTTTCGCCCGATCACTAAATCAAACCGTAGACAAAACGTGGAACATTACTACAATGTGTTCCCCGATGCTCATGTTTGATTTCTTTTATATTATAAACAAATTATTCGATTGAAGTGTGACCACTTCTATTTGACATAGATTTTTAATATAGAGGTAAAAGTATAAGATATTATTAGCTATATGTCTCTTTTTGATGATTTCGTATTGTAAAAAAACTAGGTTGTAAAGATGTAAAAGGAATAAATCTTCAGACAGAGAAAATTTGAAATTCAGTCAAAATGACACTTGTGAAACACCTATACAATTCTAATGGGTAAAAGTATATTTATTACCTTTCTGCCGTCTGGTAGGGAAACAAGATGATTACTGGTAACTACTGCAAATGGTTGACGTGCTCGAGCCTGACGAACATCATTGGTTGAACGTGACTCATCTACAACACTTGACTGGACAACAGATTCAGGGAAATCATACAGTTTAATATTGTGATGATTCAACTCGTGAAGTATTGTCTGTTTAAACTGGACACATTCATCTGGTGTAAGACTATCAGCTTTACCAATTATAACAACAACATTGACCTGAAAAAAAGACATGAAATCATTAGCATCAAACTCACAAAATTGATAGCTCTGGTCACAAGGGCTGATTAAAAAACAACAACACTAGGACAGCCTCTTGAAACGAAGGCTATTTTGTATTCATTTACAAAAAGGTTATTCGTTGAATATAATAAAAAGTTTTGGCCGTTTGGATAATCTACATGTGCCTTTATCATACGGATGTTGTCGTAACTGTTTTTGAGGATAAGTCGTACTGTTTGATTTATGGCAAAATCATATATGAGGTACATGATGAAGACTATTCAATAAAAAGTTCTAAATGATTGAATCAAACAAAATGCTCGCTACAGGCAAAAACTAACAAGTTGGCAGAAGAGGCATGGCAGCGAAGATGTGACTTCAAGTGAACGTAGAGAAGACAGAGGTGATGAAGATACCCAACCAACACCACCAACAACAACAAGCATCAATGACCATCAACGGGGAGAAACCTAAACGAAGTTGTCTTTCTCACCTACCTACCTAGGCAGCATCGTTTTAACTACAGACGGAGGCATAGATGAGGATATCAAAGTCAGGATAGCAAACACAGCAAGACAGGCCTTCTTGCATTCATCTGAAATCAGTGTGGAGATCTGCTGCACTGCACTGCATGCACTGCACTGCCTGCACTGCACTGCACTGCATTGCACTGGACTCAGCATACGGCGTGAACAAGATCCGGAATTTCAACACTAATTCAGTCAAGTCAGTGCTTCCATATGATTCAGAAACTTGGCGCGTTACGAAAAGCATTCCTAATAAACTGTAGACATTCATGAACACCTACCACCTACGCTCACTCGATACTGACACTGACATTGAAGAACGAGCAACAAGGAACTCTGGTTGGCTCGAAACGACACAACCAAGAACCCATCACCCAACAAATACACAGAAGAAGGTGGAGATGGATTGGATTGGACATAAACTAAGAAGACCATTCGGGGACATCACGCGCCAGGCCAGCTCAGGCCCTCAAGTGGAACCCATAGGGTGAAACGATGAGTTGGGTGTCCCAGCTGAGGGTGACATGGAGGAGATGGTGTAATGAAGAAATGAAAGCTTGTTGGCAGTGGTGGAGCCAGGTTAAAAAGACTGCAGAGAAGAGAGTGAAATGAAGACGTGCTACTGAAGCCCTATATTCCACCAGGAACCCAAACGACAAATAATAATAATGATAAAATGCTCCGGTATCTAAACTAACTACCTCTTGAAGTAATAAATGAGAAAATAGCTTGAACCACTATGAGTCTCAACTTACAAACATTTCTAAACATATGTTAGAAATAAATGTTAAAATATGTTTATTGATAGAGAGTGAACTGGATTTGAATGTGTCGACCACTTCATTTACTTGGGGAGTTGTATCAACCCGAACGGGTTGGTTGCTGATGAGACCTCAACTCCGATACAGAACGCCCGTTTGGCCCCAAATGTCAATGTATCTGACTATCTGTCAAACGGCGATTACACTGCGTGGTAGTCCGTTCTTCTTAGTTATACGGCTGTGAGACATGGTCGTTGAAAGTAGAAGGAATGAAGCGATTACAGGGTTTTTATCACAGTTATCTTCGTAGCATTGTTTGCGTTTTGTGGGATCATTATGTGAGCAATGTTGAGGTCAGGTGAAGGGTACCAAGCAAGACAGGTAAGTTGATTGATGTGATTGTGAACCTTCATTGAATAAAGTGGTTTGGACATGCATTGCGCATCCTGAACCATCGCCTACCTCGATGTACTATGCTGGGAGAAGTTGGACTAAGTAAGAAGAGGATTCAGCGCGGCCAGATCAAAACGTGGCACAAGTCCATGAAGTTTCTTATTGTTGGTCTGAGTCTTATATTGAAGTGTAGACTATCTGACTGTAGTCCCCAGGGCAACAACAATCAGTGATTGGGGACTCATAGTGACATGGCTGAAAATTAATCACGGCAGTGCAGATGAATTCACTCCTTGACATCTTCTAAAGCTTGAATATTTGTACTAACCACTATCTTCAGACTGTTTATCCTCTCAGACAACTTCGGCTACTTTGAAATCACTCTTTTTCCATCCACTTGTTCTTTGCATACTACTGTAAAGTGTGGCAACTTGAATCGATGCATCTGTGTCTGAAGTTCTACGCTGATTTTGTCAGTCAATCAGTCAGATATATATTGGGGCAAATGATTTGATAAGTTGTCAAAGATGAAAGTTTAAAATGGAAAGGTATCTACAGCAGTACCTACTGGATGAAGATATCAGCTGGAGCACCTACATTCAAATATATTCGTTACCAATTCCACTGTTAATCACTGAAATAACCTAGTTCACAAAATACGAAGTTTGATGTCCAATGATAAATGAAATAAACATAATTCCTTGTGTTTTTTGATAGATCCTTTTTTGGCCAGACTAATTTAATTTACATAATCATTTTCATGTATTTTTGTTACGTTGATTTTATGCAACGCGATGTACAATTGGAATAAGCAATTCAAAGCTTACCTTGAAACACTAAAACGTCTTATTTATTCATAATCAAAATAAGATAAACCAATTTCACATGTTTACATAAATGATATCAGTGTATACGTCTATATTATTTTATTTACCCATTCATTGATAAATATACACCGTGACCTTCACAAATACAACCGGAAAAAAACAACCTAATAATAATAATAACGTTAAAGAGAGGGAAAATGATTTTACGTGTGAATTTTTGTTTACTCATTTGCATTAATTGAAATAAACAAAAAAGTAGAATCATTTATATGCATTCGTTATAGTTCAGAGGGTTAACATATATACATATATGTTCTAAGATGAACATTTTTATATTGTTTTATAAAGCGAAATTTGAATATCGATCATAACAGTATAAGTAGTAAATGATAACCGAAAGTTTTTAGAAAGGTGGACTGTATTGGATTTCGTTCTAATGATTCATTTCTTAAAAAGAGAAAAACATTGTAACTTTGATAAGAAGTTTTAAGATGCTAACCTTGGCTACAGTTAATCATCATAATAACATTGTACGCATAGACTATAAAAACTAACTTCAATGACTAATCACTTTACAGTAGATTATTAAATAAAAATCGTTCATCAAATAAAGATAACTTCCGTTTGTTGCTGATATGACCGATATCTTTGGTGGAGGGTTAGATTATATGAGAGGAAATCAAATGTCCTACCAATCTATACTGGATGATGATTGAAGGTGAAATGAAAATTTGGACCTCTGCCAGATTCGAACCAGCGACCACCGATGTAGTTGGGCAGAACCCATGGTGATTAAAGTAAAATAAAAATCTGGTCAGCCGTCGGACTTTTTAGCTCAGTTGGTAGAGCGTCGCACCGGAAACCCGCAGGTCGCTGGTTCGAATCCGGCTGCGGTCCAGATTTTCATTCCACATTCAATCATCACCGAGTATAAATATAGATACTAGTCTGCCAAACTACGGCTATCTCAGATAGTCAAATGACAGTCCTGCTAATCATTGTGATAATGAATATGAGAAAAGTGTGGAGATAAACTCCAAGAAACAGCGGTAATTGTATGAATCATTATACATAGACTACTGAAGAATTGAATGAAGAGGTTATTAGAGTAAAACTTGGCTACTGTGGCAGAGTATAATTCTCTTTCATTTGATCCAATAGATGTATCATACAGGGAATTACTGCTTCACCGTGTGATACATGTTATGAATCAAGTGTACAAAACTATGCTTCGCCCAGGTGTTACGCTTATTAGCATTTGTCAGCAAAGCGTATCTGCAACCTTATATAAGTTCATCCTACATCTGTGATTTGAATCTGCATCACTCAACGATGAAAGCGGAGAATTCATCAATCAGTTATTTAGGTCCCTAACAAGGCATACGGTGACTAGTCATGCATAACACATGTCCCATCCATCTCAGTCAATGAAGTTTCACAAGCTCATTAACTGACTATCTTCTTCCCACTAGAACTCTACACCTGATTTCTACGTTACTGACGTGGCAACACCACGACAAACGGCCTGTGTTACAAAGGCAATGGTGGTCAAAACCTGAAACCTTCTTATATTCTGTACCTTTGTTGGGCATGTTTCACAGCCATGCGAATGCAGCACAGTACACTCAACCCTCAACAAAAAATCAGGTATCTCGGTGGTGCTGCAGATAGCATAAGTTAACAAAAGCCAGTCGAACGTTTTGTAAACACACAGAGGTTTCGTCGTCCGCTGGTCCAGTAAAGCAGATTAGACTTTCTAGGCAAGTGAATTGGTCAATACACCCACGCATTTCACTCCATATTGTTAGATAGGGCACCCCTGAAGATGTAAAAAAGTACTAACTTCAGAAATATGTGTAAAAATAGCAGAAGTAACAACCCTAATATCGAAAACAAGATGCCATCTGAAAAATTACCTTCTTTTGAAAAAATGTATTGAAAAAGATATCACACAATCATCAGTAAGGCTTAGGTATATGATGTATTTGAAGTGATATGTTTAAAAAGTACTACATTTTGATAGTGAGCAGCACATCTGATAGCCATTTGACTATCTGAGATAGCAGCAGACTAGTATTTATACACGGTGATAATTGTGTTGATTAATAAAAGTCACAATTTCTTAAAACCTGTTACAGTTCCTCACTTTCAGATAGCGTGCACCAAACTGTGGTTGAAAAGATTAAGATTTTTTTTACCACCCTTGACTTCACCGTAGAATTTATTTGGAACGTGAAAAACAATAATTTCTGAAGTATGTTAGTCTTGTAACATTGATTCTTTTATGCGTCACCAATAAAGACAAGCATTCAATCCTGTAAAAACATCCTTAAACGAATATAAGATAAGCGGTGATCATAGGAAATTGGGCTCGGTGAAATGAACGAGAATGGGAGTTGTTTGCAGAATTCTGTGCATTCAACGATTTGGTGATTGGAGGCACTGTGTTCAAGCACAAGCACATCCACAAAGCGACATGGATTGGATTT